AGGAAGGAAGGAAGGAAGGAAGGAAGGAAGGAAGGAAGGAAGGGAGGGAGGGAGGGAGGGAGGAAGGAGGGAAGGAAGGAAGGAGGGTGCCAGCAGAGAAAACATGGAGGCAAACGTAGATTGTGGGGAGGGGCCTACTTCACTCTGCCAGGACTTCCCCCACCTCCTGTGACCGCCTGAGCTGTCCAGGGCTCCTGGTCCCCTATTCACAGTGTCCCTGATCCTGGGCTGGCCTGGGACATGGCACTTTCAGGTCTGTTCCATGTGCTGGGAACTCAGCTTACTAGTAGTAAACACTGTTTTCTTCTTTCTCTCCTAGGTTGCTACATCCAAGGACTTGTTTGGGTCTCTGGAAAAGCATTCTTAGACATGGGACATATCATTTGACAAAGAGACTTCTGTCTTGATGTTTACGCAATGGCATTAGTTGTCATATCTACACTTGTTGGTTAGTGGAAGTATAGGGTCCTCAGACACCTAAGCAGTCACCATTGCCCTTGGATAGCATGAGCTAATGCCTCTCCTGTCCCCATTCTCTGGGCACCTTCAAATTGTCCCTGCTCTCCTGCACCGTCACAGTGTGTATCACAGGCATGAAAGTGCCTGAGCTGTGACTCTCTCCAACTAAACGTGAAGCTCTCTGTGAGAGGAGAGACCAAATTGTACCATCTTCAGTACCCACATCTCCAAAATGCCCCTCACAGAGAGTGCCCCGGGCTCTTGCTCAGAGAGTACGTGAAGCCTGAGCCTCTCCACTGTCCTGCCTTTGAGGCTGAGCCTTTAAGTCGTACACCCAGGTCACAGGTGAGCAAGTGATGGACACACACCTGTTGACACACTGGTGTACACTGGAGAACAGTACAACTGCACTGAGCCCTTTCTGTTGAATCTTTGTGTCAAAAGTCCTGTTACTTCCTATGACAGAGTCAGATCGTAGAATCAGTGAGTCAAAAGTAGGAGCTGTTATGGCTCCAGATGCACACATCACATTGCTTTCCAGAGACCACCCACCTAATCCCCACCACAAGCTGTGGAAGCACCTGCCCACAGCACCCTGGCAGGCATGTTGCTCGTTGCGGCCTTTCTTAAAGATCATTATGTCTATTCACCTACTGAGCTTCATTTCTTTCAGTTACAAGGTCAGCTTTTACTGAGAAACCCTCTCAGTGCAAAACACATGGAATCAGGACTTAAGGATTCTGAGTCCCAGTTGCTTTGTCTCCAAAAGGGGCTAAGACCAGGACACCTGCAGCTATAAGCTGGGCCACTCAGCAGGTGGGGTTTGTGAAAACGCACAGACCCTTTAGCAGAAGGGTCTTCACCTCCATTTAGTCCAAGCTCCCTTTTCAGATGAGGAAACACTTCAGAAAGATGAGGTGACGGTAAGCCAGGGCAGCAGCTTCTCTCCATCCATCCTCACAGAGCTCAGCCTCAGCCCCAGCCCCAGAGTGTTCAGGAGCTCAGACAGAGGCCTGGGGTCACATGTTCACCCCTCACACTCTTGGAGATGCACTCTTGGAGATGAAGCTAGATGCACTGGGACAGCTAGCCCTGGTCCCGGGGACAGGACAGACAGGCCCACACCAGGAAAGCAGCCTGACTCCACCAGAACTATTGCACTGCTGGCTCAGGTGGCTGCCCCACCTCAGAGCTCCGTCCTGCCTTTCTGGTTAAAAAGGCCCTGGTTTCCTTTAATGACATCTCAATGGAGTGGTTAAGCAATTAAAGGAGTTTCTTGCAGCATTCCTGGCCTACATGTTTACCTCCTGTTTAGAATACTGGTTTATATTTAGGGTGATTCATTTACAATGGTTTCCTCTTTGCCAGCTTTCCCTCTGCCCTCCCACCTAGTTTCTTGGCCAGTTCCAACCTCTGGAAGCTTCTGGCTAGGATCAGTATGGATGGAACTGCTAAACAACAACATACACAATGGCGAGTCCTCCAAGTGTTTGTAACTTTGAGACATTTTGATGGGTGGCATTTTGAAGTTATTGTGTAACGTAATTTTCCTTTCTTTAACAGCAGAAGAAACAAGCACTATTTGATCCACTGAAGCTCCTGAGCAGAAGTGTTCATGGAATGAGAGTCCCGGGAGTGTGAGGGATACGCACGGCTTTTCCTGGGGCAGCAGCGAGCCCATCCCTGCAGCCAGGACAAGTGATGAGAATGAATGCTGTGAGGCGCTGAGGTGGGCTTGTGTCCTGAATGAGCTACAACTCGGCTCACTAGGAATGAAAGCATGAATGAGTGACATGACCTAAATATGTGCCCAGACCTACAGATGACCCAAGGCAGATAATTCTACCTTTTGTGCTAAGATCCCCTCTATAAATCGGGAGAGATAAGTGATATGAGTATGCACTGCCTTCCCTTCTAGAGGTGCTGGGAGAACTTGCAGAGAGCTCTCTTTACCATGAATCTGATTATGTCCCAACGTAGTTCTTTAATTACTTCCTGCAACCCAGAATCCTAGGAGAAGAAGCTTTTAACATAAAACACAGAAATACCTGAGTTCCTTCTAAACTTCAGTTTCCGCCAAACCCAGGACCCTCATGGTTATAGATTCATAAAACTATAAGGCACTGAAGATGACAGCCCAGTGATGACAGGTGGCTGCATCCGTTCCTGCCCTTCATCCCTTCCCCAGATGGGCCCCCTCGTCCCAGCCAGCCCCTCTTCCCCTCCACCTGGTCACAGCCTCAGAATCCTCAACCAGCACCCCCATCAGCTCCCACCCACGGACTGCAAGTGGCATTTTGAATGGAAACCTTTTGCCATCCTGATCTTGTCCAGCCCTCACCACTTATAGAAGAGCCAGAGCCCAGAGACACTGATAAAACCAGGAGGAAACCTGGACTCACCACTACCAAGTGGCAGAGCCAGGAATGGACCCAGGCCTCTGACTTCCAGCTCCACATCCACATCCTTTTTATTCCTTTAAGGCTAACAAGACCCAGCTTTACTGAATTTATTCAACAAATAGTTGTAGAGAGCCTACTAGGTACCAGGAAGGCATTATACTCAGATAAACCACTGATCCCTCTTGGTCGAGCTAGAGTGATTTCATAAACCATAGGCCTTTTTTCTTTCACTCAGCATGGGCTGGATCAAAATTTAGATGATAGATAGATGATAGATAGATAGATAGATAGATAGATAGATAGATAGATAGATGATTTGTGGCATTCTTGTCCCAAGGACTTTAGAAATATCTCTCAAAAAGAAGTTTACAAAGTTAATAATAATAAGATAATTAATTACTACTACCCACTACCAGTTGTCTTGGATTATCTGGGGGGTTTTCTGTGCTCTTTCCCCAGGTATTGTGCTGTAAGATTTTCTTCATAGAACAAGACCATATATAGTTTTGATGGAAAAACTACTATGGGAGGAAAGTGAGCACATTGCTCCGAGTCTTACATCCACGTTTAGGAGAGAGAAAAAGTCTAATCATCATATCTCTTAGTTACATTTAAATTATCAACCAGAAATAAAATGTCAGTTGAGGGTCAGCTATACTAGTATGTCTTCCCCTTGTTATATTATAGGAAGAATAGCATTGAACCAGGTATGAGGACACCTGAGTTCTCGTTATCTTCCTCCCTGAGGCAGCTTGTGACACCAGGTGAATCACTTTAAGATTGATGAGCCTCTCTCCTCCTTTATAACCTGCCTGCCTGGCAATGATAATCCTGTTATTAGGATTAGTAATAATAATAACTCCCACTGGCATTATGACTTGCCCTGTGAAGCACTCTTTCACAACAGCCCGAGAGGTGGGCAGGGCAGTTGTAACTACCGCCAATTAAAGGTGAGAAACCCAAGGCTCAGGGAAGTGAAGTAGCTCACACAAGGCCACCCACATGGAAACTGGTGGCTGTGGGAGTGAGCATCCTGCTCTCTGCAGAATGCGTTCCCATAGCTTCTTTAGGGCAGCAGGGTTGAGACTGGAAACCTCTTCACCCCCAGAGTCCTGGATGCACAGGGGTTGCTAGTTCTCCAGGCAGCTCTCAAGACCTTAGAAATATTAGGGGGGCTCTTGGCAGGTTTTCTGGTACAGCGATTAGGACAGGATGTTTTCAGTGAGCAGCTTCTCTGCTGTGTGCACAGACTTCTATGTATTTGCTGCAGTCGGCTCCACCTCTCTGCCATGTTGTCCTTAGCTGTTTTCCTGTAAAAGGCACAACACACACACACACACACACACACACACACACAAATTTTAGTAGAATGGCCTTCCATCAAAATCTTTAGACTTGTAAACAGCAGCCTCTTTAAGAATTTGGTAGATCATGTCCTGCAGACAGATTCTTGCAGCACATTGCCCAGGAGAAGACCAGAGGAATAAACAGAAAACGCACACCATGTTGATTCGCAGTCTCTTGTGAGGCTGGCTCTGAGGGGCAGGCAGTCATGTGAGATGAGGCAAGGTGGCAGCAGGGACCACCACTGTCATCCTAGGATCCTTCGGGAGTCTGTGCTCTGAGTGAACCTGCCCCCAGTGCAGACACTCTCATCCACGTGATTACAGATGTCACTGGGAGGTCACCCCCACAACCCCCAGGGCCTAGGGGCTGCTAACATCCCCAGCATATGATGAGTTCTCTGCTCCTATCCATTCTAAAGTAGAAGCTGCAGACCTTAAAAAATAGCTGGTGAGAAGACAATCATCTATTTTAGCCTCAATATTTTTAAACTGAATATTGATGAAATAATATGGATAAAATAAACACTGATGAAACACCGGATTGGGTGAGAAGATACCCATCCACACTTCCCCTGGATTTCTCCTGGGGGCAGCTGGATGATACTAAAGGCATGTTTCACATAAGTTCTCCTGGGAGACAGAGCTCCTGGAGAGGATGATAGACAGAGGGTTATTGAAACTTGCAAGGGTTTGTGCAGATATGACATGTCCAGTGTGACACTCCCGTTTTTTAAATCAGGCATTTCCACTACAGTGTAATTATGTTTACAAGGGGGTTGGGGAGGCTTCCTGCCCTACAGTACCCAGAGCATCCAACTCAGGCAACACTTACTTCTAGCAAGATTGCTCCTTTTCACCACACATTTATTAACCCTCCTTTAAAAAATTTATTATTTATTTGTTTGTTTGTTTTGTTAATCCTCACCTGAGGATATTTTCCCATTGGTTTTTAGAGATAGTGGAAGGAAGGGGGAGAGACAGAAAAAAAGAAACATCGTTGTGAGAGAGACACATCGATTGGTTGCCTCTAGCACGGCCCCGACCAGGGCCAGGGATTAAGCGTACAACCCGAAGTACATGCCCTTGACCTGAGTCAAATCCAGGACCCTTCAGTCTGTGAGCCAACGCTCTATCCACTGAGCCAAACTGGCTAGAGCTAATTAACCATACTT